AATTCCCCAGCCAGCCATGCTGGCTGGGGAAATTTTGGGGGTGAAGTGCCCAAGTCTTTAAATGGCCAAGGTTGAGAAACACTGCTCTATGGTTACAACATAACTCTCTTCTTTCTATAGTCTATCCTGTCTAATCATCAAAACCATAAATCATAAGTTCATTTTTTAATGTATTTTATGCCAAAAGTCCATAAAGGGTTTCCAGTCAGCAATAAATGTAGATATTGTCTTTCCTCTGATCAAAGAAGTCAATTTAGTCATCTCAGCAAGTTCCGTCATCTTCACCAACCATTCCTCCATTGTGGGTAGTCCCAGGCATTGATTCCTCTGTGAACTGCATTCACATACTATTTTAGTATTTATTGTACAGCCCTTCCTCTTCAGCCCAGCCTGTAAGAAGACATTTTCAGGGGAAATGCGTTTTGCCTAAGCAGAGCCTGATCCAGCCACCTGCTCAAGGAGTAGATAATAGTCTACTTTTAAAATAGGAGTGTGCAAAGGCCATAGGATTTTTAGGGCAAAGGCCATAGGATAGATTGGTCCTCAACCAAAAAAAAATCCCATTTCATTGTATTTTAAATGTTAACTTTACGTTTAATTAATTAAAACTGATATGGGGGTGCCTGTTGTCCCCTTCCACCACATTACAAATTGCAATTCATTGGTTACTGTCGGAACAGGCTTTGCGGGGCTACCCAGAACTTTAATCAGGGATCCCTGAAGCCCTAATTCTCAGGATGTTTTTTTTTCCCCCTTAAAAGATCACACATCCATTGAACATACTAAATTATTACTCCCCAACCTGGCTGCCTTTAGTTGAGTAGGATCTCAATTCCCCATTGTCACGTCTAGGTCAACCTGGCAGGGGAGTTCTGGGAATTGTAGTCCTGAAGTCTCTCCATGGAGTCAAGTTCAGGAGGGGGTTGAAATGGAAACCAAGGTCATTAATGTTTTACACCACAAGGTGGCAGAGGACCATCAAAAGTCTTCATCAGAAGTTTTCTCTAAGAGAATGGCTGTTTTTTCGTTCCTCTCCCCCCCGCCCCCCAATCTATATGCATTGGCCATATTAGAGTGAGCGCCGTGTTTTCTGCGGTGAAGATGAAGGACAGTGGGTGGCAAGACTCAGGATCTGGTCCCTCCCCAGCCAGGGAGGTTCTCTTGGGATCTTGGGTTAGTCCCTCCCTCTCAGTCCAAGAGGCAGTGTGGGGTAGTAGTGAAGGGGCTGGACTAGGAGTGGGGAGACATGGGTTCTAATTCTCCATTAGGAACAGAGGCCAGCTGGGTGGCTTTGAGCCAGGCCCTCTCTCAGCCCTAGATTGGGAGGTCAAAAACATCACTCTACCAATCCATACTGGACCAGCATGGTAGATGATGGCCAACAACCTTTGATGAAGAGACTTTCATTCTGCAGTGGATTGATTTGGGATAATGATGAACATGATGATGAAGAAAATAGAATAGTGGTTTAGGAGACTGTTGAAGAATATCATTGACAATTGCCTGGCACAGCAATTGAACCTTTTTTCCTTGTCCCTCAGGGGTGCCTTGAATTGGCAAGTCCTTTACAGACCTCCTGAGGTCCATCATTTTAAGGCTGACACCCACCCAACGGAAGAGAAGATCTGTAGCTCAGAGTTGAAGTGTGGAGTCCTTCGGGTTCTCTGGGCTTGGTTGTTTTCTTGCAGACATTTTGTTACCTGGCCAGGTAACATCTTCAGTGCTAGAAGGGAGTTAGTGGGGTTTGCTCTCTGTGACACCCACCCCCTACTCTTCAGATCAAGTTTCTTCTCTCTTAAGCTCAAGGGACACCCAGCCACAAATACAGAGACTGTTTTCAGATTTGATCTGACCTTGCTTAGTATCTGTAATATTCTTATCAGTAGCATGACTCGTTTTTGCGTTGAATTTTGTAACCTTTTGCTTTTGGCTCGTGCTGCACCAGATTTGAAAAAGCCTCCCCCCTATTTCCAGATGTATATGGGCTTCAGATTTTTATTTCTAAAAAGTAATCCTCTATAATCGCATACACACCGAGCACGTTTTTGAATTTACAGGAATGTGCTGAAATAGCTTGTGATGTGACACAGAGCTCTGATATTCCAAGATTCTGGGTGTTGTTGAACCACATTTTGGGGATCCAAGTGTGTTTCAAAGTTCCCCTTTTGAGGAGTTGGGTTTTTTCCCTGCCAGTTCTAAGAATTCTTTTTTTAAGCAAAAAGGTTTTATTGGAAAACGTGTGAAATCTTCTGAGTGAGGCTTGATAAAAGCAGTTGCATTAGCGGTTTTTAATGTGTGTGTAGGTTAGGCTTGAAAAGGGCTTCTGTCTTCCCAACTAATAATGTACTTCCTACTGTTTGAAATTCTGCTACAGGACTTAGAAAAATAACACTCCGCTCCGTGTAAAGCTGTATGTGGAAACTCGTAACAGAAGCGTTACATTTGCAGTGGGAATGTTCACTTAAGCCGGTTGGTCTATTCGTGGCAGAGAAAAAAAAATGATTCAGATTAATTATTAACCGTTGCATTCCTCCTTTCGTTCACGGAGGCTAGGCTGTGATTTATTTAACCATGGTTTATTGCATAAGTAGCAAACAGCTGGATTTGCAGAACCCAAGTCCAAATAAAGCGCATTAAGGTGAAGCGTGGTGTATGAGTGTGGGTGTGTTTGTGTTCCTTGATTTATCCCTGCCACTTTTTTCTTTGAAATGCAAAATTCCGTAGTCTTCCCCAGCCGTACAGGTAATCACTGGTTTGGGGTTTTCTGCATTTCATGGGAGCTTTGTTATACTAGGCTAAACGTTTGTAGAATGTTTCTGGTCATTTCGGTTCTCCTTTCTCAGGTTTTCCTAGGCGTCAAGCTCAACATCTCCATCCCCTTTACTGTTAGAACGGTTTATTTTTTAAAAAAATTTTTTTAATGGCAATAATGCTTTGGCAGAAACTTAATACTTTTAAAATAGCTCCCAAGTGTAGGAGGACAATTTTGAAGTGCAAATTAAAATTCCCAAGCTATCATATGTTTTTTAAAAATGAATCTGCTAGCTACTGTAGAAATATATTTCCTCCCCCCTTTTCTTGATAGGCAACATGTAAGAGGATCATTATCTTGAAAGAACAAATGATTATGGCTAGGAATGGAATATCTAAAGCTGCTTAATGGTATTTAGATTTACAGAAATAGTGGTTTGGAGGCTGAAATCCAGAATCTCTGCAAAGAGTTGAATAAGACCTGGTTTTCAGTGGAAATATATCCTCATTTAAGGAATCAAGAGTGATAGGCAATGGCTTGGTTATGACAGTTGGGCATGGAAGAGGGCTGTAATACCTATAAAACGGTACTTGGTGTATCATGTTAGGGAGATGAGGATTCATATGGTGCAGTCAGGGTGGGATTTCAGGGTCAAAACAGAAGCTGCCTTGCAACATTTTGAAGACATACAAATTACGTCCAAGGTCTTAACCTCAGTCTGATATTTTTGCTTCAGTGCTGGAACTCAATCATACAGTGAAATAGATTTGCAAGTAGATTCACCAGAGTGAAAAAGTGTATTGTACAGGATATAACATACCAGTGTTTCTCAACCCTGGCGCCTTTAAGAATTCTGGGAGTTGAAGTCCACACATCTTGAAGTCGCCAAGATTGAGAAACACTGTAATATACCTTTTGGCTTACTTCACACTATAGACTAAGTTATAGTAATGTTACTCTTAGCTTGATGTCCAGTTCCAAAGTATAGGTTGAGTTGTGGCCAAGGCAGAGTGCTTAATCACAGTTGGGATCCACGTCTTCTTGTTATCGTGGCACTTTGTGTTTTCCAAACCTGGAGTTTACTCTTCTAACTTAGAGAACCAGGAGGCCCAAATCTCATCAAGAAAGACTCTTTTGGCTGAATCCCCTTCCCTCCACCCTGTACAAGGGTGAAATTAGAATGCCAAGAGAATGTAGTTTGGCTTTCCTGACCATGCAACTGTTTTTTTTTTTAATTTTAATCTTATTTGTTCTAAAAATTCATTTTAAAAAAACAAATAATTGGGAAGCTGTTTTATTAATTATCATTGCCTCAATCCTTATGGGACTCTAGGCAGTAGAAATATCACTCGTTCAGCCCTCACCGTGTTGGCTGAGTTACTAACCAGCATTGAAGGTGCTTGGCAAATGGGGCTGCATCCATGGGAAAAGTATCTTATCCGTGGTTAGCAGTAAGTCCAGCTTAGCGTGTGATAGAGTGCATTTGTTGAATCTGCTGCTGCAAGCAATGATCTCCTGGCTTTGCTCTCTGCTAAAAAGTTGACTCTTTTGTAGAGGAGAAGTCTACTTTGTTAAACTTTGCTGAGGGGCAGCGTGCCTGTAAATGCCTGATCCTGATGCCAAGGGAAGAGCAGTCACCCCTTCTCTTGCCTGTGAGTTTTTCAAAGCTTTTGCCTAGATGAAGTTTTGGTTTGACCTCACACAGGCATCTTCCTTGTTCTTCATGTCCAAAAGCTTCTTGGTCATATACCAGCCAGACTGGAAGCTCAGTTTAGATTCCATATCTCCTATGGTTTATGTCATTAAAAAAAACAAAACTAGGATATCCTTTAATGGGCAGCGAACAGCCAGTCCCTCAGCCATGTCTAATATGCCTACAAGCCCCTCAGAGACAGCTTGATTTCATTAGTCTTCATTTTAACATCTACACTAGCCCACCGGCCATCTTTTAGAGGGTGAAAAGCAGGTGGAATAATCCATAGAGCCTTAAACTGGAGACGTCAGCCTCCGTGTTCTGGACTAAAGTCTAGTGCATGTGCCCAAGGGAGCTTGAATGCTAATGCATCCGTGATCCTCACAAGGACCAGGAGAGGGGAATCCACTCTGGTGAGATCAGAAGAAAGCAAAGCTGCTTGATTTGACATGATCACACGTACAACCTGAGCCTAAAATTGTGGGTTGTGTCAGAAAGCAAAAGGGTTTTCCTTGCTCCATCAAACACTCTGATAATTTCTATTAAAATTTGAAGATGGGGCAAAAGGCCACGATGCTTAATTTTAAATTCCAAATTTAAAATTAAATTAATTAAATTAAATTTAAATTGGGAGAAGCGTGGAACAGCGGCGCTCTCTTTACCTTGCTATGCCCTATTCCCTACAGCAGTGTTTCTCAACCTTGGCAGCTCTCAGATGTCTGGACTTCAACTCCCAGAATTCCCCAACCAGCCATGCTGGCTAGGGAATTCTGGGAGTTGAAGTCCAGACATCTGAAAGCCGCCAAGGTTGAGAAACAGTGCCCTACAGCGTACTGATGCAGGTTTTTATACATTTCTTATACACAGGTAAAGTTTCAATCAATAGGATAATGCCAACAGAGGAGAGGAAATCATAGAAACAACAACATCCTGATGGCTTTCGGTGGTCAGGAGATTTAACAGCAGTCAGAGATTGGGCTAGATACAATGACTCTGGGTTCTTATTGAGATACAGGCTCTTAACAAAAGTGGAGCAGCGTAAACAGGAAGCGTGTCAAACAATTTAGGCTTGTGATTAGGTGATGGTTAATCTTAGCTGAGCTCTGTCTGAGACACTTAAACTCTTCGCTGTTGGGGAAAAGATCCAGTAATGCTGAGGATTTATTGGAAGAACAGTGGAAAAGCAGGGAGGGAAATTCAAGGGAACGAGAAGGAAGAAAATAGGGAGGTAGATGTGTCCTTTTCTAAAACCCAAGACGGCTGTGAATAAAAGAAGGGAAATGAAAAGAGGCTTTTTTTTCCTGAAAGCTGCAGTCATATAAAAGTAAGAAATTGATCTGAAAACGGTTACAGGAAGGGAGAATTTCCACAACGCTTCTGAGCTGCACGCTAACGGTCCTGCCAAGCAATTGTTGATTTGTTTCAGATCTAATTTGTATTAAATATATATGGTTAAAGTGTAGTGATTTTTTTCTAAGCATTAGGACAAAACATTAATAAAGCTATTCCTGTATTTAATCATTTCCCCTCCTCCTGGCACGTTAAACATTGCATTTGGGTGCGAGGCTGGCGGGTGAAAGGGTTTTGTTCCTTTTTGGCAGGCAGAAAAGGTCCTTATTTGGGCGGGGAGGGACTCTAGCAGCTCTGTTTCACAAATAAGAGACAGGTTCCCTTTTGCGATGACATCCCACTCTTTATTTTATTTTCAGGTATCACAAGAGCCAAGCTATTTATCTGGAATCAAAAGAGAACACCAAAATCAGCTGCGTGATCAGCTCGGTGGGAGCCAACGAGGTAAGAAAATGTCTCCCTTCTGAGTCGTGGCCTTGTAGGTTTGAATCAGGAGCAGCCTCCCCCATAACTTTGGAGTGCGCTAACCATATCATGGGCTGGATTCTTTCTTGCTTAGTTGCATGGCAACCACCAGCTGGAGGGCTTCTGCAAAGCATCCTTCAGAGCAGGAACGGAGATTTTCATCAGGCAATTATTTCTTTGGATAACGTTTCTGATCTTACTACAGCAGTTCTTTTGAAACTTAATAGGAACTCTTGCCTAGCTCTTCTGGCTGCGTGTCAGAAACAGACACACTTACTGCTCTGCTGCTTTTAGCTAGTCGCTTTTAAATCTGTGCATTCCTGACCCGCCATCTCTTTCTCTTAGATGTGTTGTTAAAATGGAGAAATAACCTGCCCTCTATCGATTTCTGGCTTGGTTGTGGGCTTTCTACTTGAAGGCTGTAGTCTTCCCTGCCCCCCTTAGTCTGGTAGAAGCAGTGGCCTGCTAGGTGCTCTTCATTTTTCCTCTTCATTGGTTTTGCCGGTTTGGATTGGTAAGGATTGGACTCCGGCAACTTTTGCTGACTTTTAGGAGAGTTGTGAAACTGAGCAATAGTCTTTTGCATGTAGAAAATACAGGCAGTCCTTGCTTAATGACCATTTGTTTAGCGACCGTTCAAAGTTACAACGGCACTTACAACCAGTCCTCGCACTTACGACTGTTGCAGCATCCCTGTGGTCATGTGATTGTGATCCGGGTGCTTGGTAACCAGCTCACACTTAACGATGGTTGCAGCATCCTGGGGTCACGCGATCGCCATTTGCGATCTTCCCAGCCGGCTTCCGGCAAGTAAAATCAACGGGGAACCACATGATTCACTTAATGACCACAGTGATTCCTTTAATGACCACCGCAAAAAATGTCATAAAATTGGGTACAATCACATGATTCCTCGCTTAATGACTGCCCCACTTAACAATGAATTTTCCGGTCTTTACTGTGGTCGTTAAGTGAGGCGTACCTGTACCAGATTCCTAGTTCCTAACCTCTCAAGTTAAACCATCTTCTGAGGTTCTCCTCTGCAGTTTCTAAAAAGCTATTACAGAGGTAAATGGTTCAGAATGAAAGGAACCAGTCTCCAGGACAATGTATTTGCCTTGCTTTCTCTTTCCTTGAGTCACCCCTAGGCCTGTCACACACTAAACAAGTGGGAGAAAATCACACTTAGTAATTGTGATTGGTTTGGGGTCCGATTAGCCTGTTGTCTGAACCCCACCATTGTGGATGGTTGAACTCTGGTTAATTAGTGTTCACTTAGTGTTATCTGCTTAGTGTTATCAGTGAACCGGGCCGTTTTGGCTTATTTAAGAAATCACGGTCTAGCATACACGTGAACCCGGCCATTGGGTTATAACTGGTACGTGTGCCCAACTTGTGTCGACCTGCCATTTGATGGCTGTTTTACTCAGAGAGGTGAAATTTTCCAGAGTGTTTTAGTCTGATGAGTTTTTAAATGGTATCTCAACACAGATAGCAAGGAGGAAATCTGGGAGTTGGAAGAGAGAGAAAAATTGCAACGTTAGAAATAGCTCTAAGATGACCAGGTACAAATAACCATTGTGGAGAAGCCCCCGCTGGGTTTGGAATGCAGCAAGACATTTCAGTCTATTTTGAGTGAAATGGAGGGGTCCTAGCAAAGGAGTAATTGAAGAAGAAATATTTGGTATTGCTTGTACTCAAATTCAGCAGAGCATCTCTTTCAGTTAATAATGGGCCAAGTTGCAGATGTACCAAAGAGTGTGCAGAGTTATGCCATGAGGTGTGAGTCCAAACGTAACTTGGCATCAGATGGAGTACAGGCAGTCCCCAGACTAAGAATGCCCGACTTATGGACAACTCATACTTACGAACAGATTGTCATAAAGCCTATTATACTAAAAAATTGAGTTAAATGCAATGGTTCCTGATAACGAATGCACACACTACTTCGTGACGCTCATGAAAACATTGCGTGGCTTCCACGGCTCGTCGGCTTGAGGAAGGAGAACGCCGTGTAAGGAGCTTATCAGAATTTGAATTACTGCCACTGTGAGCATCCATTTTCTTATTCTGCGTAGCACGTACCATTGATGCCTGTTCTGTTGCTGTGGTGTTCATTATTGTCAGACACGGCCTCCAAACCACCACCCCAATGCTCCATGGCTAGCATTGATCCAAGACAGTGTATGGAGATAAAGTCAACTATAGCCAGCAACCTAGCACTGCCAGCAAAACCTACTAGGGTACCCTGGCAGCAGGAAACAGAAAATCCTCAGAATGATACTCAGTTCAATAGACTTGCCTCTTAAAGCTTAGCAGTTGGGCATCTAAAACTCCCCATTGGGAAATAAAATTGACGAAAGCGTGATCGGGCGTGAGTTGTAATACTTAAGTTCATAGTAAAGGACCGAGGCGGGCAGGATTGCGTGTGGAATCCAAGTATGTTTCCGGCTGCCATAACAACGTGTCAAGCCGTTCCCTTTCTGAATCCACTCCATAGGGGAACAGCTCTTCCCAGTGTCACCATTTCTCTCCTTCTCTCTCTCTTCCCCCCCCCCCCTTTCCAGATCTGGGTGAGGAAAACCAGCGACAGCACGAAAATGAGAATCTACCTTGGTCAGCTCCAGCGGGGAGCTTTTGTGATCCGCCGACGGTCAGCAGCTTGACTCTCTTTTTCCCAGCAGACGTCCGTGGTAGAGACAATCAGCTGTCTGCGAGACGTGTGCTTGTGCTCTCTAGGTGTGATTGGCGAAAAAAATAATCCTCCCCTTTGCCTCTTTTGGGAACGTCTCTCCACCGGCTGCGTTCTCCCTCGTGTCTCTCGTTGAACGCCCTGCAACCTGGACCGAAGATTTTGTCTGTATTGTCTCGTCTCCAGAGGGTAGTTCAGAAGAACATCCACGTTCTCCTCTTTCCATTATTTCGTCCTTTCTTGCGTGCGTAGTATTGTAAATGTTTTCAGTCGAGGAGGGCCGGTGCAGCTGGAGGAAGCTGAGCTGACTGTCCGGCAAAGCAGAGCCGCGCCAAATGTGGGAAGGTGACAGCGAGGACTGTTGAAACGACTAGAAAAGGACGGCGTTCACCTGGGCGGACGTGCCGGGAACTGGCTGGGAGCTTTCAGAACCTCCATGGCCTCCTGGATTTCGAGTTATTTATGTGAAAAGGAGTTACAGGACTTTTCTTGATTAAGCCAAAGCTATGTTAAGAGCTTGGAGTGGTTTTTCTGTTCTTGGTTTTGCAGGCAATGGTGGACAAGCACAGAGTGTCTTCTTCTCTCCCCCCCCCCCGCTTCCTGAATGTTGTTTCCTGCTCAAAGCAGCCTTGGGATCATCAGGAAGGGTGTTCTGCTGAGGCATGAAGTTGATTGTATCCCCAAAGGTTCCCCCTTCCGCAGACTGGCCTTCTCCAGAAAAACGTTGGGCACATCCTCCAAGAAGCCTTGACTTTGTGCATGCAAACCTATTCCTTGTCTGCTTCCCCCCTCCCCCCAAATGTAAATATTAGAAGCGTAGGGCCTGGATCCAGACCAAAAGCACAGGCTGAGCTTCCCAGCATTGTACTGTTTTTATGACCTGGTGGTGGCAAAGCGTTGTTCCCAAAATATTTTTTATCTCTCCAATCTTACGTGTAGTGTTGGCTGTATTTCCCCCAGCTCCACAATTCTGGGCAGGGAGGGTTGCTTTCCTTCTTGACGGCTCCCATCCACCTCCTCTGAACAGCGAACGCCTCTACTTATTCCAGATCGCTCTGCAGATTATTACGGGTGAAACAATTCAAGAATCTGTTTGAAAATAAACTCGTAATAATCAACCACCATGAAACCAAGATCATGCCTCAAACAGGCATGTACGCCAGGATTCAAATATTCCAGAAATACAGTGAAAGGTAATAGTCATACCAGCCCTGTCCTCGAGGCTTGATGAAGTAGCCAAGTCTTCACAGACATCCTGAAGATCAGGAGGGAGTGAGACCATCTCAGTACCATCATTTCTTCATCCTGTCAGGCTCAAACAATGAGCCAGTTACTTACCTAGGGTTCTAGTACCCTAGCAAACTAAGGGTAATCCTAGCTTTTGCGGGGGGAGGGGGAAGCAGTCATCTTGACCATACTGTAATCCTTGTAACCTTTGCAACGCGGGCTGAGACTGCATTTTTTTTTAAAAAAATGAATATTATTTTTAATAAATAATTAAAAGGTGGTAGCTGCATTGGGGCTATTGCAGACAAGAGGGGGCCAAGCCTTTGGGCCTATAATTCGCTCTCAGCAATCAGGAAAAAGAAGCTTCATGTTGGCACTTGCTGTAGCCTCCAGGCTGTGTCCAAAACCACAAAGCAGGGCTGATTTTGAAGTAGCCCTCTTCTCCAGGAACCTGAAATGGCTGTTAAGGTGAGTAAGCCTACGGTGAATCTTGTGTAAAAATGGTGGGTATGGCGGTCGTCATGAAGAATCGTTTTTCCAAAGTCTGGGCTGCTTAAGAGTATCCCAAGTCAGTCTTTTCCAACCTGAAGGCCAGTTGTCTTGTTGGGAATCCTGGACCCCGATATCCATGTCTCTGAGGATGTGTTGAACATTGTTGAGGCCGTCCAGCCCCAAAACATCCCATTTCATCGTGGAATGGGCTGATCCAAGTGGTTTTGTGTTTCTGGAAGTGGACTGGTAGAAAGCATTTCTGTAACCCCTTGCACACCTCTCCAAGACAGGAATGCTGGCCTGGGTTGTGAAATTATGTAGCTTAGTATGTTGTGCAAATGCAGACATGTTTGCATCCCCAAAATCCTTGGAGCCTCAGCATTCTGCTCTCAGCACTTTCTGGGTGATCCTTATACAATGAGTTGTCCCTCCCATTGCAGGAGGTGGCTGGGAGTTAATCCTTAGCATCAAAATCCACTTTGTAAATAAAAAAAATTGAGTTCAGGTATTGGGGACTGTTAGCTACTCTGGCCCTTCAGTTTCTTCTCATCCCCATTGAATCACCCCTTCAAAGAAGCTGTATGTCCGAATCAGTTCTGCAATCGGTTATGATTCATCTCCCATGGACAAGGCCTTCTTGGAGGTCTCCAATTACTACTTTGACTCATCCTCCTTCCATCCACTTTTGCTGAAGAGCCTGGATCCACAAATCCTTCCTCTACAATGAAAATGAAGCAAAGAAGAAAGGGTGTTAGAAGCCATATGAGATGGGGACGTGGAAGGTTGGAAAAGGTGTAGAGTGTCAAGTGAAGCTGCAAGGCCATCTGACTCAGCAGCAGAATCTCTGGGGTTTCAAAGGGCCATCTTTCCCACTTGTCTTTCCAATTGTTCAAACTGGAACCCACCTGCTCCCTCCCTCCCTGGGGTCTTCAGTATGCAAACCTTGTATTTTAAACTAAGCTATCTCTCTTCCTGAAAAAGGTCTATGGGGAACAGAACCTCTCTCATTTCAGGTTGATGCCCTTTAATGGACCTGGCAAAGCAGCTCTCAAGAACCCATAATTCTAGTGCCTGCAGAACACCAAACATTAAACACAGAATAAAGATAAAATTGTTCCAAATCCTCCAAAATCCCTGGACTCTGTGAGATTTATTCATTAGATATTCATTCATCAAACTTGTATGCCATTTATACCCCATTTGCATGGGATCTCCATTTTATCTCCATAACAACAAACCTTGGGAGTCGGTTGGGCTGACCGGTTGGCCCAAAGGGCCTCCCGTGTCCTTTGCATCACCTCAATCTTGGGCCACCCTTTCAGCCATGGTCTTCTGTGAGATGCCAGAGGATGACAAAGCCACCTGTGCTTTCCCATGCAGGAATGGGCAAAAGTTGGGGGTGCTTGGTGCCTGAAAGCCTTGTTCGCCTCTGAATTAATTTCTGATGTTGGCAACAATTTGGTAACCCAAGAGCCAGATGCTGGAAGATAGGAAGAGTTGCTGGTAAGTAGATGGGGTGGTAGCATCAGAACATGCATTTTTAATTTTTTTTTTAAAGCTTTGGATTTATCTACAGTCTTCAAAAGTGGGCTTCCCATAAAGATTTTTTGGTAGCAAACATTTTTTGAATATTTGATGAAGTTACATGGGCCTTGAAGATAGGAGTAGAGCAAATACCCTTTTAAAGGCTCGGCCAAACGGAATATCAGTAGATATTTGGGAGGCTTCCATTTCCTTCAAACTGGCACATGAAATAAATCTAAATTCTTTCTTGAGTTGTTTGTTTTCACAAGCATGCTTTGGTGCGCTTGGCCAAGAAATCTGCACGTTTTTGGTTTGTGATCAATCACGTTCTTTAGGCTAGAGGAGACAGATTAATTATGTATGGAATTGCAGGATAAAAATCTTCCCCACGTTTATTCTCCTGGAAGGAGTGGCAGAATTGGCCACGTTTTGAGCAGGACAAAGACTGGGGAGCCAGAACTAGCAGGAGGACAATGGATTTGGCATGTTGGGGACGACAAAATGCAAGGTAGTTTCAATTTCACGCTAAACTCAGAAAATTACATTTTAGTCAGCCAAGGTCCTTTCAGGAGACTTGAAAGAACAGGTTGGGGACGGATTGTCATGGAGAATATCTCTCTGGTTGCTAGGAGTCAAAAATGACTTGATGGCACATAAGGTTGTGCCTTGCTAGCTGAACTGCTCCAAGTCAGAAGCGAGGGCAATTGCATGCCATGACAGGCCAGGGCAAAGGTCTGAATCTTGATACGATGCTTCCCCTTTACCCAATCTGAAGTCCCTCCAGACGTATGATTTGCAGCGTGATGATGACCGCCGTTGGCCGGGTGCCCTCCAGAAATCCGACTCTCAAGATTTGCATCAATGACCATATCAACTGGAGTGGTCTTGTACCCATCTGGGAAGCATCCAGATAGGATAAGGTGGGCACAGTAGAAGGTGATCCTGCGAGAAACTATGTTTGGCTTGCAAGTCCAAATATGAAAAGGTAGACACTTTTATTTAGGAGATTTTGGAACAGCGGGTTTTGTGTGCTTTGTGTTCTCTCCAGCAGCGCCTTTGGGGGACAGCTTTGCTTTCCCTCCACGGGGGCTTAGCAGCGGAGAGCTGTCGTCGTATCCCTCTTGCAGCCTGGTTAGGAAGGACTGGAGCTCGATGATTTAATCAATGTCATCTTCAGGCATAGCCTGTCTTCATCGGGAACAGGAACGTGTTGCCCAAAAGCAGCCATTGATTTTGGAGCCGGTGGTGGTTATGTTTGTATCTCCAGAACAGTGCTTGGCTAACAAGCCATTTCTTCCCCAGCTTTCCCCAACCTGGTGCCCTCCAGAGGTGTGGAATTCACAGGCAGTGTAGGCCTTGATGAGAATCATGGGAGTTGATGTCCACACATCTGGAAGGCAGCCAGCTGGCCAACAGACCCCCGATTGTGCTGCAAATCTGGGTGATGAGAAGAGGCTGATTCCATCACTTTTGCTGGGAGATCAACTAAACCGGTGTTTTTCAAACTTGGTAACTGTAAGATGTGTGGACTTCAACTCCCAGCATTCTTTTTCTTGCTTTTATTTCCTCCTCCCTCCCTTTTCTTTGTGTGCCATTTCTTTAAGACTGTCAACTGAGGGCAGGGTTGGTTACGTTGCTCATCCTTGTAAACTGCTTTGGGATCCTTTTTTTTTCCCGGCTGATTCCCCAAGAGTAAGAATAACAAGCCAGCCTCGCTCATTAGATTTCATCAGAGGTTAATCTGTTCAAGCTAATCTCTAATTAAAAGGTTGCTTTAGCTTAACCTCATCAGTATAACGGGGTAGATGAGCACAGACAGGTCTTGCCTCACATAATTGGAAAGGGCTCATTTGCTGGTGAATTTATTCGGAGGGTTCTGTTACATCCTTGGCTTCCAGAGGTGCGTTGAAAAGACACAAAAGCCGTGTATTCACACAATACGCTCAGTCAGGTCAAGAGACACCCAGCAGATGTATTCATGCTGCTTGGTTAGAATTAAAGTTGACTCAGGGGTGTGTGTATTTTTATTGCTTGGGTTGAAGATCAATGTGTTGTGTAAACCTGGGGTGAATTTAGTGACCAGGTTAAGCAAACTGTGCATGAAAATAGCCATGTACCGCAGCAGATTGGAAGAACCCAAGATAAGTGGAAGGAGGTGGCTGACTCAGTGTGTGTTTCAAGGTACTGCACCCACAGATACCCCACAACCCCATTTTCAGAGGTGTTCCATAGATACTGTGGATTAATCTTTTCTTGCTTCAAAGCTAATGCAGATAGTGGTTAAGCTGTCAGTGTGGGACTGGAGAGACCCAGATTTGAGGCCACTTAGATACGGAAGTCACATGGCTGATAATGGGCCAGCTGTAAGCTCTCTCGGCCCAATTGACTTTGCAAGGAGGTTGTGCAGATAAAACAAGTGTTATGGGCTTGTTTAACAGCAAGGTGACCAAGGGTGTGAGCGGGAAGGTACTGTCTTTCACCAGGCAATCTTTTCTGCAGCAGTCTGCAGCCTCCCTGGCTTCCCATTCTTCCGTTCAATTCCAAGGGAAATCATGAAGAGGGAGTTCCTTCCATGAGACAACTTCAAATTGGGAAGTATGAACAGCCAGGGAGGTTACAGAATAATGGGAAGATGTGTAAGAAATGCCCCCTTCAGTGCTCTGCAGCTTTCCTGGGGCCCACATTTCCATTCTGTCCCAAGTGGAGATCTCTAGAGCAGTGTTTCTCAACCTTGGCAACTTTAAGATGTGTGGACTTCAACTTCAACCACAATACTTTAAGATGTGTGAACTTCAACAACTTTAAGATGTGTGGACCTCAACCCCCAGAATTTCCCAGCCAGCATGCTGATAAAGTTGAAGTCCATGCATCTTCATTTCCAAGATTGAGAAACGCTGCTCTAGAAGAAACTTCTTTCAGATCTGTTCAGATTAAACTGGAGGGAGGGGACACACCTGAAATGCTGAGAGACAACACAACATGGCTGCCATGAGAGATTGATTGATTGATTGATTGATTGATTGATTGATTACATGCCATCATGTCATTGTTGACTCTTAGCAACCACATAGATAGATTTTCTCCATGACAATATGGCCCTAACCTGGCCGTTCAGCATTTCCAACAGTGCATTCATTGCCACTATAACTGAGTCTATCCACCTTGTTGCTGTTCATCCTCTTCTCTTTCCTTCCACCTTTCCCAGCATCAGAGCCTTCTCCAGAGAGCTAGGTCTTTCCATTGACTGATTGAGTGACTGATTATGTGCTTTCAAACCAGTGTTGACTCCTAGCAATCACATAGATAGGTTTTCTCCATGGTGATCTGTCCCCAATTTTTCAGGTCTTCCAATGGTGTCCCCATCACCACTGTAACTGAGCTCATCCATCTTGCTGCTGGTCATCCTCTTCTTCTCTTTCCTTCCACCTTTCCCAGCATTACAGCCTTCTCTAGGGAACTGGGTCTTCACATAATGTGTCTGAAGTAGGATCATTTGAGCCTGCCCATTTGTGCCTCGAGTGAGAACTCTGGGTTGATTTGTTCAATGATCCATCGGTTTGTTTTCTTGGCTATCCACAGAATTCTCAGGAGTTTTCTGCAACACCAAAGTTCAAAGGCGTCAATACTCTTCCTATCCTGCTTCTTCAAAGTCCAACTTTCACTTCCATGAAGTGTCACAGGGAATATCATGGCTTGCACGATTGTGATCTTTGACTCACTTACAAAACTGGGGCATGGCTAGCAACAAAACACATCTTGCCCAAGGTGTGTTCTTGATGTGGGAACCAGCCACTTATGGATTATTCAACAAGCCAAGTTTAAGCAAATCACAGCAAGGGGTGCCTTGGCAAAAGGCGCCCCAAATTCAGCAAACATTTGTTCTCTAAAAGCAGCAAGACACCAACACTAGAATCTTTAGCTCTGTCATTCCATGTCACATCTTAATTAGCTACTTATTTGCAGAATAAATGTTTGATCATAGTGACAGCAATTACAGGATAAATTGCATATTTACCCTTTACGTATACCAGCCGTTATTTGCAAGGGAAGCCCCAGTCTGTCAGAGACTAAGGCACCATTGCAGAGACAAGATACCTTTTATGATTAATTTGTCATTGATTTATGGCTTTTTGGCAGAAGCCATGGCTTGGAATTGGATACAAAGTAGGCAGGGATGGGCTGCTTAACAACATGGGTCCAGCTTTTCTTCCTATCACTCAGGAAGCCCAACACTTGCAAGAGTCTTTCCATCACAGATCTGCTTCAGAGCTCCTAAGAGACACACCTGACTTGTAACTTAATGGGAAGGAAGAAAGAAAGAATAAGAATAATTGTGGAGCTGTCGTACATGCAGAATTTCATCCCCTGAATTTAAAGAAGCTTAAAAGGAGGGGCGCTAGTCTCTCCCAAGTTGTAACGTAATGGGGTGGAAGAAGCAAATAATAAAAATAATTGTGGAGTTTCATACTAGCTGAATGTTATCCACTGAATTTAAGGAAGCTTAAAAGGATAAACGCTAGCTTATTTAGAGGCTGGGTGGTGGTAGGGAATATCTAAGATCCCAGCTTGTTTCTTAGTTATAGGGGCACGCCAGGAGCC